TATTCTCTCAACCAGCTTCATGAGGTAGTCACCTGGAATGCATTTCAATTAACAGGTGTGCCTTCTTAAAAGTTAATTTGTGGAATTCCTTTCCTTCTTAATGCATTTGAGCCAATCAGTTGTGTTGTGAAAAGGTAGGGGGGGTATTCAGAAGATAGCCCTATTTGGTAAAAGACCAAGTCCATATTATGGCAAGAACAGCTCAAATAAGCAAAGCGAAACGGCAGTCCATCATTACTTTAAGACATGAAGGTTAGTCAAAACTGAACTTTTCAATAACTTTGAAAGTTCCTTCTAGTGCAGATGCAAAAACCATCAAGCGCTGGCTCTCATGAGGACCACCACAGGAATGGAAGACCCAGAGTTACCTCCGCTGCAGAGGATAAGTTCATTAGAGTTACCAGCCTCAGAAATTGCAGCCCAAATAAATGCTTCACAGAGTTCAAGTCACAGACACATCTCAACATCAACTGTTCAGAGGGGACTGTGTGAATCAGGCCTTCAAGGTCGAATTGCTGCAAAGAAACCACTACTAAAGGACACCAATAAGAAGAAGAGACCTGCTTGGGCCAAGAAACACGAGCAATGGACATTAGACCGGTGGAAATCTGTCCTTTGGTCTGGAGTCCAAATGTGAGATTTTTGGATCCAACCGCTGTGTCTTTGTGAGACGCGGTGTGGATGAACGGATGATCTCCACATGTGTAGTTCCCACCGTAAAGCATGGAGGAGGAGGTGTTATGGTGTGGGGGTGTGGGGGTGCTTTGCTGGTGACACTGTCTGTGATTTATTTAGAATTCAAGGCACACTTAACCAGCATGGCTACCCCCGCATTCTGCAGCGATACGCCATCCCATCTGGTTTGGGCTTATTGGGACTATCATTTGTTTTTCAACAGGACAATGACCCAACACACCTCCAGGCTGTGTAAGGGCTATTTTGCCAAGAAGGAGAGTGATGGAGTGCTGCATCAGATGACCTGGCCTCCACTATCCCCTGACCTCAACCCAATTGAGATGGTTTGGGATGAGTCGGACGGCAGAGTGAAGACTCCTTCAAGACTGTTGGAAAAGCATTCCAGGTATAGGTGGTTGAGAGAATGCCAAGAGTGTGCAAAATATATTTTGATTTGTTTAACACTTTTTTGGTAACTAGATGATTCCATATGTGTTATATCATAGTTTTGATTATTCTACAAAGTAGAAAATAGTAAAAATAAAGAAAAACCCTTGAATGAGTAGGTGTGTCCAAACTTTTGACTGGTACTGTACATATTTTTCAAGCTGACGTGACAAACATAATACTGTAATCCTAGTAGCCTATATGGTATCTGCTGTGAGAATAAGCAGGGGGATTGGAGGAGCCATGCTAAGAAAAGCTTGTTTACTTAGTAATCTCACTGCAACCCCCCTCCATGTCTCCGATCACTACTTTGTTTCCTTTTCTCTCCCCCTCTCCTCCAAACCTAACCCCTCAACCCCTACCCAGATGCGCCATCGCAATCTTCGCTCTCTCTCTCTCCCATTACTCTCTCCTCTTCTATCCCATCATCCCTTCTGCTAAATCCTTCTCCCGCCTGTCTCCTGATTCTGCCTCTTTGACCCTACTCTCCTTCCTTTTCGCATCCTTTGACTCTCACTGTCCCCTATCCTCCCGGCTGGCTCGAACCTCCCCTCCCGCTCCGTGGCTGAGTGACTCACTGCGTGCCAGATTCCTCCATCGGGTCAGATACCCACAGTTCCCCGCAGGTGACCTAAAGAAAATCAGCTGGCGGGTGGAATGAAAACATTCTTTCAACTGGCGGGTCGGCTCACAGTTCAGAACAATTATATTGCGGGTCGGAAACATTTTAAATCAAAACAATATTTTTTTACAAACCCAGGAGCTTGTTGGGTTGTGAATTCCATTCTGTGAGCGGTGAGGCAGACATATAGGCTACCAGCCACTTACGTGGTGAGAGAGTGTGGAGCAGGGAACTGTCAACATTATTTGTGTGGTGCTGAAACATTTTAATTTGTCCATGTGAGAATACATTGCCATGTTTACTTTCTCTGGCTAGCCTAGCTCACGCAAAAATGGCTACCGTAACCTTAGAAATAAAAAGAAAGGTTAAGATGGGGGAATACAGCATCGTGGAAACAGGTGCTGCGCGAGTGAAATCCCCGGTTTGTAAGGATTTTGGAGTCATTGTGGACAAGAACAAAAACTCGGTAGATGGATAGCCTACACAGCATGCAAAAAGTGCAAGCAGGTATTTGTTTAGGATAATTCTGTTAATTATCAGTTAATTATTACATTAATGTAATTTATATTTTATTTTTTTACTATACGCAGGACATATATAGTTTAAATTGGCTGGTAAAAGCTTGAGTAGGGCCTATTAGCCTACTAAATAAATGTATTTTTGCAGCCTATATTCGATTCTAGGAATTGTTCATTTAAGTTTCAATTAAACTATTTGATTATCTAAACAATATTGATTGTAAAGGTCTTGTTTTGTAATGTTAGCTACATGTATAGGTTTTCATTAGGTAAGAAGGTTAATAAGAAAGCAATTTTTTCCAAAGCGATTTGAGTTGTCAGTGTGCTGCATCACATTGTGGAAAAAAAGAAGATATCGTTCTTAATTCATAGCATGGTTTTGTTTATCCAAATGTTGAATAGAAATGCAGACAAATTAATGCAGGGAAGGGGAATAATAGCCCACAACTGGAGTCATTTAAAAACAATTCAATAAATATATGTTATTTGGCGGGTAACGGATTGGCTCTTGGAACAATTCTATGCGGTTGGGTTGCGGAGAAAGATCTGTCCTGATGTCGGGTATTGGGTGGGGCTCGGAATTGATGTGGCCGGCGTGAGGCGGCTCCCAAAAACGGACCCATGCAGGATTCTACTGCGTGCTCACAGAACAGGGCTGTGGTCAGTTGAATGAAAATGGAGGAAAACTAAACTTCCGGAGGACCTATTATCCTTTCACTCCCTCCTCTCTATCTTCTCTTCCTCGGTATCTGCTGCTAAATCCACTTTCTATCGCTCTAAATTTCAAGCCTCTGCCTCCAACCCTGGGAAACTATTTTCCACCTTCTCCTCCCTCCTTAATCCACCTCTTCCCCCTCCCTCCTCCCTCTTTGCAGTCGACTTTGTCAACCACTTTGAAAAAAAGGTTGACAACATCCACTTCTCTTTCACTGAGTCCACTGGTCCCACTCACACAGAACTACCCTACGCCTTAACCTCTTTCTCCCCTCTCTCTCCAGATGAAATCCTGCGACTAGTGATGTCCAGCCACCCGACAACCTGCCCACTCGACCCCATCCCCTCCTCCCTTCTTCTCTTCTGGCACCTCTGGTCTCTTGACCATCCCACTTCTAGGGGTGGTCAGCTCCCACTCAGCCCAGTCAAAGCTCTTCTCTGTCCTGGCACCCCAATGGTGGAACGAGCTTCCCCCTGATGCTAGGACAGGAGAGTCCCTGCCCATCTTCTGAAAACATCTGAAACCTTACCTCTTCATAGAGTATCTTAAAGAAGACTTCTCAGACTTACCCCCCCCCCCCCAAAAAAAAAAAAAAAAACCTTGCATTCGTCTTTTCCTATTGGCACAGACTTTGATAATGTCTTTATTGAGGATAGATGTACTTACAATGACTGTGATGTATGTGGTTGTCTCACCTAGCTATCTTAAGATGAATGCACTAACTGTAAGGTGCTCTGGATAAGAGCCTCTGCTAAATGACTCAAATGTAACTGTAAAATATAAAAGCACTGACAGGTGAGTAGGCTGGGCGACCTTCCTGCAATCCCCTCCCTCCTCCAGCCTTGAAACACACCATTTGCACAACATCAGCATAATCAAATACAATCATACGTCAAAGCCACAGTGCCTGAGCAAATACGCATCGTGCCGGGATAAGCGGTGGATAACATCTGCAGATCCGAAGGCCAACAGAGAGGGGATGGTAATCTTTAAAGATCCAACATCATGCCTCCATGTGTGAGGTCCAGGTACATATACATGTGTCTGTGTGTGTCTGTGAGCAGGGTGGCAATGTAGGCATATGATTATTCAACATGGATTCTACTGGACGATGCCATGATGTATGTCTGGCATTTCAAACAGTTGGCACATACCAGCGTAGCGAAATATCACCTTCAATTTACATTTTAGTCATTTTAGCAGACGCTCTTATCCAGAGCGACTTACAGTTAGTGAGTGCATACATTTTTCATACAGAAGGAAGACGCTGTGTTAGATACTATCGAATGGTGCAATCATGCATTAGACATGTCAAGTAATTTTCAGTAAACATTTTGTGGATGACACTGTGGAGATTTGTACAATATGTTCTGGAGCCCATGTTCCTACAGGTTGGCAATATAATACTGCATGGTCGAGTTGTGACATTAAAAGAATAATCCTGTTCATCCTGAGTGTCCTATTTCATATAAATCTATTGAAAATTCAACAGGATCTTTTGCACTATTCAACATATCTCATATGGTTGTGTAACAATCTGTTATGAAGCTTCAAGAACATCTAATGTATTACAGTGCATCACAGGAGGTTGGTGGCACCTTAATTGGGGAGGACGGGCTCGTGGTAATGGCTGGAATGGAATTAGTGGAATGGTATCAAATACATCAAACACATGGTTTGATGCCATTCCATTTGCTGCGTTCCAGCCATTATTATGAGCCGTCCTCCCCTCAGCAGCCTCTACTGCAGTGCATACTACCTTGACCACTCACAAAACTTGACCCCCTATAAACCACAGACTGACAACACTGTTGTGAAAACCTCATTCTATTCTACTGCAGACAATAAAAGACACTGAACTTCTGGATGGTCTTTCTAGTCCCCTTGTGATGACAGAACATTAGACAGTCCCACAGTGGGGTGAGCCAAAGTTGTCATTCATGACTTGATCACCCGGGTTAACAATACCTTGACACTTTTATGCAGGAGGGGATGAAATGGAGTGGCAAGGAGTGACCTACCTTACGGTGGTGTCCATGCGGGAGACGGTGAGGTAGGCTGCCAGGTTGGCTGTGTAGGAGGAACATACGATGAGGGTGAAGAGCCACCAGCTGCCCATGACGATCCTCAGGGCCACAGAGCTCACCACGCTGTCCCCTCCTATAGAGGGGGAGAAAGGACATGTCACCATCCAGGCTGGGTAGAAAATAGAGCAACTACAGTTATCAATGGGTTGAGGATGAACAAGTAGTTGTTAAAGTGGGTGGATGTATATCAGAGGAGGCTGGTGGGAGGAGCTATAGGAGGACAGGCTCATTGTAATGGCTGGAATGGAATCAATGGAACGGTATCAAACACATCAAACATATGGAAACCACGTTTGACTCCGTTCCATTCATTCCATTCCATTTATTCCATTCCAGACATTACAATGAGCCGGTCCTCCTATAGCACCTCCCACCAGCCTCCACTGATATATATAGAAAATGTTGTAACGAAAAGGGTTAATAAGGATCATTGAAGGGCTGAAGTCTGTTCACCGTCCCATAACACAATTGGTTGACAATATACTGTACTAATAAAACGTATCCAGATTAGAGTGATCAACTTCAAAGGATCCATAACTTTCAATGAAAAATGTGTTATGACAGACCATTGTTTTCCCATACAGTAAAAAGTGTCCACTTGAAATAGTGGGCAGTTGCGAAGAATCAACAGGACAGAGGCTCCCCATGTTTAATCCTTGGCTGTTAGGCTTAAAATGGTTCAACATGCTCTCTGGCAGGAGATAATTATAGATGCAGCTGAGGGTTCAACAGGACTTGCTGACACACTCATTTATTTCCCTTTGCCAGTCTTGGATCCCAACCAACATATCCTTTTCTTCATTCAAAGGCACCTTTACTGTGCTCTTGTGAGCTTAAGAAGCTGGTAATGCAATCACTATGTTATATGGACTGCACATGTGTGCATGGGATTTGTATGAGACAGTAACATAGGTGCAGAAACAGCTGTGTGGCCTTTTCCACTTCATGTGCAACTTTATGGATGGTATTGTAATGCATAGGATCACTTTCATTACCTAAATCGGCTTAATGTTCATCCAAGCATTAGAAAGTACGAACATCTTATCATAAATAATTTGTTAATAGTCACCAGATATTTTAATGAATCATGCATTTTTAAATGTAATCTAACACCTTCCAGCACATGAAAATTGTATGTTTCCCATTAAATATTTGATACATGCAAATTATACATTTGTTTTCTACTGTAAAATGGCCTAGGTTGCTTTAAATAAAAGCTAAATGAGTATATAGGAGAGTTGATAGTCCTTCTGTACCTTGCTGTACAAATGCTCCATAGACTATCCAGATAGCACTGTGTAGGGAGTTGGACGCCTGGTTGGCGGGCTGCTGGTGTGGCACTGGAGGATTCTGGGTCCTCAGTGACTGCATCCTGCTTAGCAGGAAGATGAGAACTCCCACCACGGGGATGGCTGCAGCAATACACCCCCACACGGCCAGGTCGAACGGAGCGAACAGCGAGAAGATGTTGATCTTCTCCTCCGGTTTCCTCAGCAGGATGCCAACAGAGTAGTCCATGTAGCGCTTACTGAAGTCCACCACGCTTTCCCGCTCCGGAGTGATGGTAATGGCAGACACGGCCAGGTCAGCTCTCTATGGGGACAGACAGAGAATAAGTATAGCAAACGTCCCCCGGTCAGTCAGGGATGAGTGGGGACTGAAACCAAGTGGAAACTGTGTTGGTTTGAGCCGTAATGGTCTCAAATGACATTCTCTTCCTGGGGGTAATATGGCAGGTTGGCAGGTTTCACGGGCCATACAGAAAAGCTCACCTTGTTTATGAGCTCGCCGATCATTCCATTCCAGGAGCCGTTGGGCTGCTGCGAGCCGTACTTGCTGTCCACCACCTGGTAGATCTCGTACTTGAAGCCCAGGATCTTAGCCAAGGCGTCGAGCACGTCGATGGAGAATCCTTTGTACCGCTTAGGCTGACCAAGGATGTTCTCAGCAACCATGACAAATGGATCCTCCTACAAAAATCAAACACAATATCACATCGGAATGCTCACAACATGAATTCAGGTGCATGTGCTGAGTCAATGGTTATGTTTTAAGCAGCAGTGTTCCACACATTGTTTTCATACAGAACACCATGGATACCGTTTCCAATTCACAGCACATGGAAGGTAACAGTGTCAACAAGATATTCCTTACCAGTAGTGTTACTACTTTGACCGTCACTCCTTGCATGCCGTTCTCAATGCGACTCTCCTTCAGGCTTCCATTTAGCCCATGGACTGAGTCCCACGTAGCCAGCTAAAAGAGAGAGAGAAAGAGAGAGAGAAGAGAGAGAGAGAGAGAAAGAGAGAGAGAGAGAGAGAGAGAGAGAAGAGTGAGAGAAAAGAGAGAGAAAAGAGAGAAAGAGATAGAGTGAGACTTATATGTGTTCATAAAAGAGTTTAACCATGTTTTTCGCAAAAAAAGAGACCAATCTCCTCATGACCTAATTCTATCTTTCAGGCTGCCAATCACACAGAATTAACCCCCCAAAATCTCCACCAGACACCTTTTGATATTACCAAAGAAAAGCTGATATTTAAGGCCTCCTAAAGAGGATTTAAAAAATAGTAATTAATTTAGGAACTCATTCACATGTTTTGTGAAGGTGATAGATGGAAAGGAAAAATACGGTCCCCTAGGTAACAACTGACTGAGGCAGTGCTGATGCACAGAGGTATAGTTCAACGTTAAAGAAGAAACATATTTCTCTCTCTTGATCTCTTCAAACGCTATAGTGTGTGTCTGTGTGTTTGTGTGTGTCATGCAACCATGTTTGATCCTGGTGAGAAATCTGAAATCTGCTTTGTACAGAGACACGCTGATTCATTGATTACTTGATATGACATTTGTGTTCTCTGACAGCATGGCCAGATGGACAACCAGGGAGCATTGGGCTCACTGGTCAAGCCATTCTGGCAGTTAAAACTGTACAGACCAAGTCTATATGTGTGTCATGGATACCAGATACTCCTATCATGGATTACCTACAGTATAAAGAGGGCTATTCACAGGCTGTGTGTGTGTGTGTTTGTGTGTCTGTGTGTGTGTGTGTCTGTGTGTTTGTGTGTGTGTGAGTGTGTGTGTGTTTGTGTTTGTGTGCGTGCATGTGTGTGACCCATCACCACCACAGCAATAACGGTTGATTAAACTCATATCATTTCACACACTTATTAAAAATCAATAAACAGAATCCAGTCCAATTAAAACAGGTCACTTTCATTTTAAAGAATGCTAATAAATTACCTGGTTTGGAAGATTAACCCCCAGATTAATTTACTCCGGCCAACAGTGTGAAGTTAATAACCAACGTAATCTTCAGCCTAATGTCATAATTACGCTATTAAACGTACCATGTAAGATAATTGTTATTTTACAGCACTCCCAAGCATAGAGGCATGCAGTATACAAACACAAACAAGCATAGGGAGATATACAAACACACAAACACTCACTACAGATGTACAATCTTAATTTGATCACCCTGTTGCAGGATAACTTAAAGGAAATGTAAACTTGTAATGTATTTTAAGTTTAAAAAGGCTTCTGAAGTTTGTAATTTCCACTTTGAAATGTCATACTTGATTTTCCCTTATGAAAAATTTATCAAGCCCTACAAAAAACTGTTAATTAATTATAGTCCACATAATAATTAAAATGTCCTGTTGTTGCTGGATTATTTTCCTGCTGTAGCAAACTGGCTCAAATTACGATCCTACATCGGTACACATGCCATCACTCTAAAGATGTTTACTGAACTATGTTACAGCACAATATCAATTCCCATCAATATCAACAGTCAGTGAAAACATCACCGTGTGTATCATCATCATGGTAACCATTTTACATGTAAAGGGTACCGTGATTTCCTTCTACACTTACCGTATGTAATCCTTTTCAGCAGGATGAGGATGTGGCTAAGCTAGCCCCACAGGCCCATAAAGAAAGGCTAACTGGGAAAAACATGGCTACCCTATGAGCAGCCTGAGGCCAGAGATAAGACCATTCTTCTGAAACAGCTATTCTCAGCTGTCCTCTTGGTGATCTCTAAATCGTTTGGGATTTCTTCATCATGTACATTAGGGCCTATAGCACTATGGAATTGTTAAGACCATATTTGTATGTTTGAGCTCTCCTCTCGGAAGTGGACAATACTAATGAAACTGCCTGTAACTATGATGATGATTATTTTATTTATTTAATTAATTGAATCAATTAACCCTCCAAGCCAGAGGCACAGGGAAAATGATACACTTTCAATTAAATCAGCTGCCCTTTAAAGTGTATCACATTTTCAGTGATTCACTTTAAAATGTGTTATTGGTGTCAAGTCGAATTTATTCTGTCATGCATGTCCCGCAGTCACATTACAAGCTGCAACTTATTAATCGAAGGAAGTGAGTTTTCTTGAAGGAAAAATACATGGATCTCAGTAGACCGAAACAGCTAAAAATGCCTGTGGAAAGCAGGGTCCTGAACCCTAGAGAAATCAGAAGCTCTGTAGCCTACTGCTTTAAACCCATGACAGTCTCACTTTATAAAGTCAATATCTATTCCAACCCCAGTGTCAAGGTCAGGCCTCAACAACAAAGAAGTCCTCTGTCACGTTCGTTCATGAACGGGTCAGACCAAGGCGCAGCGTGATATGCATACATGTTTATTTGACTTATAAACACAACGACAAAACAAGAAACGAAACGTGAAGTCCAAGGTACACAAACAACATACCTAACACAGAACAAGATCCCACAACCCACTAGTGCCAATAGGCTGCCTAAGTATGGTCCCCAATCAGAGACAACGAGCGACAGCTGCCTCTGATTGGGAACCACACCGGCCAACATAGAAATACCCATACAAGAACCTATAACATAGAACAACACAACATAGAAAATCACACCCTGACTCAACAAATAAGAGTCCCCAGCGTCAGGGCGTGACATCCTCATAATAGAGGTGGTAAGGAAACAGCATAAATCATCAAACCAGAGCGGATGGATCACTTGTCAATGGAGTTTTATATATGGCTATTATAATCTTTATAATCTTTATCGACCCGGGTACATGTCAATCTGCACATGAATGGCCGCTTCTGTTTTTTGCCTTGGATGGGAACTCTACTGTGGCCCTGTGATGTCGTGTCAAACTCTAGGGTTTTAACAGCTGTTTGAACAGAAATCATGATGAACTCTGTGCACATAGAATCTCAGAAATATGCAAAGGCAGGAATATAATTTCATTATGTCCCTTATGTTTTAAGAGGAAAGTCAGTTCCGCTAGCTTTTCGAGTACCAATTGTCATCACTAGCCCCTAGCATTGTACTGCACACCACTGACACTCAGTTGGGCCATGATAGTACTATTTCCTGTTCTACTTGAAGACCCAAATCCTACTTTAGTATGGTAGTGCACTTTCTATTTTTTTAAAGGAGTGGGGAAGTCCCACTCCTCACAAATGTTTCATTTTATTGGATAAGACCGAGTTTGAGGGGAACAATAGAGGAGAGAGTGTTCTGAAATAGCAGTGGGCCGGATTCAAACTCATGCTCCAGCTGTGATCCGGAGGCAGTGGCTTAGACCACTTAGACCACTAGACCACCCTAGGCCACAGGGAAAGCTCTTTCTGAGCAGCAGTCAGGCCAGACAAATCTGTGTCTGTACAGCATCCTGTCCTCAAGGTGGATGGATCAATGGTGGGTCAACGCGTCGCCAGTCATGCGCTTCCATGCATCCCTTTGTAAAAATGTCAGGCCTCTCAGTCAACTGTGGCGTTGCTTTGAGTGGGTGGGGGAGCTAAATGCCACCGCTTGACACCTGCGGTGTCCATCCCCAATACATATCCTTTCACAGAGATGATCTAAAAACTGCTCGAGGCTGAGAGGGTACAGGTGTGACTATCTGTCAGGACAGCTGTACTGCATGTCAATGTATCACACTCATGCCTGCTGGCAAATGTTTCACGGTTGATCAAAATGACATTGAGGTTTTGATGGATTACTGCTATGACAGAGAAGGTAGTCATTTAATAAAATGATAGGGGGAATTAGGAATATATTTAAAATTCTTTGAAGAAAGAAAATCACTAAATGTTTTATTAATAGTTAATAGAAATAGACAGGCTATGTCAGTGTTGGTTATATCATGTTCGTTTACAAGTAACCTGTAGTGAATGATTAAATGCCTCCCTTAGTCATATGGCGGCGCTGTTAAAGTTAGCATCATCAGGTACAATGTAGCTCAAGCCTTCTCAAACAATACAGCAGGAAATCAGTCAGTGTGCCTTAATTTCGAGCTATAGAACGCATGGAGCTTGAAGAGCAACATCAACTCTGCTCTCCACATCCTCAGAAAGCACCCAGTAACTAAAAATAAAAATATACTGTTGATGAAATTCTTGGTGAATCCTCTCCTGTGTATTTCATTACAAGACTGTCTGCCTCTGATGTTTGAATCTCCACAGAAAGTTTTTTCTCTGGAGACAGTTCAAAGAAAACCATCACTAACTTAGTGTAATTAGTGTATGGCAAGGATTTAAATTATTAGAACGCCTGGTGGTTCTTTGTTCGTTTAAATGCAGACAGGGAGGAAAAATAACAATACTGCTACCGTCAATAGATGCGGCCTAAATGCATTGTTTATTTTTTCCTCATTACCGCAACATAAATTATTGCAGATTTAAATTTGAATTTATCAGGGACGTTCAATATCACATGTATTATGGTGAATTTAAACTAATTATTAGGCTTTCATTTAATTTCAAAGTACCACAAGCCAATCCTGGTCACAATGTTCAGACCTAGCTTAAAACACAAAATATCATTAGACGAAAAGCAAAATCTACAATATCCCATGTCATTATTTGCATATACTTATTACTTGGGATTTCTGAATAGCAAATTGTTATTGCGAGGGAAAATTATCATGAAAGCCCCGCTTTTTCTTCTCCTTTGTAATGGATTCATTTCAGAAGGAC